CCCCACTCCCTTCTTACCTTTACTGGGAGGAGGGGGGACATTTCTTAGTCCATGGTGGTCCGGTGGGGGATTCATTGGTGGTCCCAGTGGTGAGAGTGAACTCTAGCCCGCGCTCCAGGGCTAGAGTTCACTCTCGCGAGATTTGGAGCCTTACCGTGGTTACCGCGGCAAAGCTCCATGCACACGAGAGGAGGACCCGGAGGAGCTGCAGGCTGAGCTCCTGGATCCTCCCTCCCTCCCCTGCCGGCTGTCAGCAATGTGCCTGCGGACCGGGGAGGGAGATCTCTGATCTCCCCAGTCCGCAGGCACATTGCAGGGCTGGCACTTGGACAATGCCAGCTTTGCATTAGTGAGTGATCAGTGTATGTGCCTGTTCGGGTCAATATGTCTATCTTTGAATGTTTCTTTGTATGCATGTATCCATGAGTGTATACATATATGTACTTGTATTTGTGAAAATGGTAAGTGTGCATGAGTACGATTTTTTGAAAGTATGTCTCAGTTGTGTCTGTATGCATCATTTTCTCTCTGTATGTGCCTGTGTGAGTAACTGGGAATGAATAGACCCCGTTTTACCATTTACAAAACAAAAGGAAAGCATTTACGTGACATGTAAAATGACCTACAATTTACAGTTCACATTATACGGTTTTAATGCATTTGCAGGATTAAAAATATAATCAGGTCTGATGGAGATGGCTTTAAAAAATGTATTCTAATTGCTTAGGAAGGCTACATTTAAATTGCCAAGTGCCATCAACTGATTAGTTCATAATACAAGCACATTCTAAGGGTGAGTAAAGGAGCTTGTCAATCAAGTTTCATTTTTTTTTTCTATGTATATAGAACAAAAACTTAATACATTAATATTATATAAGGCAGAACTGTCACTTCATATGAAATTTATAGTCGCCAAAACAACTTAATGAAGCAGTCTCATTGTTCAGTTCACTGACATTTAGGTGTTGTCACTTTGTTTATGCAGCCGTAGTCACACCTCCCTGCATGTAATGTGTACAGTCTTCGTAAACACTTCATGTAAACTGAGATTTATTGTTTACACTTCCTTTATTGCACAGTCTGTTTATATATAATCTCTTATTTCCTGCACTGTTAATAGCTTGCCAGACCTTGCAGGAGCTTCGTGTGTGGTTAAAGTTTAATTTGCAGAGTAGGAGACAAAAACTTCTAAAGTTAACATCTGATTGAAAATAAAACCATTTGTTTTCATGCAGGCTGTGTCAGTCACAGCCAGGGGAGGTGTGGCTACGGC